CATTGGCAAAGAACAAGCCTCTGGGAATTGATGGAATGCAAACTGAAATCTTTCAACAAACTGATGTGGTACTGGAGGCACTCATTCATCTATGCCAAGAAATTTGGAAGACAGCTACCTGGCCAACTGATTGGCAAAAGATGCATATTTGTGCCCATTCCAAAGAGAGGTTACCCAACGGCATACGGAAATTATGGGACAATGTCATTGATATCACATGCAAGTGTAATTTTTCTACAGATAAATTTAAAACAGCTGCAATAGTATATAGGGAATTGCCAGAGGTTACAATCAAATGGAGAATGAGGGATATTATTGCTGACGTTAAATGGATATTGGCTGAAAGTAGAGAATACCAGAAAGATGTTTGTGCTTTATTTACTATATAAAGACTTTTGTCTGTGTGAATCATGATAAGCTACAGATAACATTGCAAATAATGAGTATTCCAGAATACCTGTGCTTATGAGGAACCTGTACATGGACCAAGAGGCAATTGTTTAAACCTAAATGGTTTAAAATCAGGAAAAGTGTATGCCAGGGTTGGATTCTTCCACCATACTTTTTCTGTCTGCATGCTGAGTTAATAACTCTAAAAATATGAAGAATATGGCATCAGGATTGTAGGAAATCTCATTAAGAATCTGTGAATTGCAGATGATATAATTTTGCTTGCTAAACGTGAAGATGATTTAAAATTCTTACAAATGAAGATCAAAGACCACAGCCGTTCAATGTAAAGAAAACAAAAATCCTTGCAACTGGATCAATAAATAACATCATGATAAATGGAGAAAAGATTGAAGTTGTTAAAGACTTCATTTTGCTTGGCCCCACTATCAAAACTCATGGAAGTAGCAGGCAAAAAGTGAAATGATGTATTGCATTAGGCAAATCTGCTGCACAAGACCTCTTTAAAGTGTTGAAGAATAAAGATGTTAGTTTGAGGCCTAAGGTATGCCTTACCCAATTCATGATATGTATGTTTTTTGTTGTTGTTGTTGTTGTTTTTTAATATTTGACATTTTTATTTTAGGTTGCAAAAACAAACTAACAACAACAACAACAAAAAAATTCAAATACACTTGTCAAATGATGAAAATTCATCCTTTCCAGGGAAGCAGAAGGTAGACCATCCTGCTTCATTGTTGTCTAGATCATTTTCCTCATCTCCTTCTTCCCCTTCTTCATCGTAATCATCATCATAATCTTCAATAGCTTCTCCAGTAAAGTATAACACTAATTATTATATGCTCACACAAAAAGTGACCTATTTCAAAGTCTGCAGCAAGAATAGCTTCAGCAGCAGCATCCAAATCTCCACTCTCAGGAACTTCAGGAGGGGCATACAAATTAAAGAAAGAGTCATTGGAAACAGTTTCGTACAGTCCGAACTGTTCCACACCCCTTGTGTTTTTGCTTCTTCTTAATGGTTTTCAATGTACCATTCTTTCCGTTTTTCCAATCTATCTGGCACCCTGTACAACCCAGAATTTCTGGTGCATCAAAAGAAAAGGGATCAGAATTATCTGGTTCAGACCTCATCCTATATGTCTTTGTCAACACTTCATTTGTGAAATACTCATTGGGTTCAAAGTGAAACTCCTTAACACAACATTCATAGGCTGGCCAGCATCTGAGAACTTCACTTTAATATCTTTCAAGTGCTTCAGAATAGGTTCATCATGTTCCTGAACCATATCGCTGAGCAAGCCAACATTCTTAAAAACAGTCAACCAAAATTCAGGAATTCCTTTGGGATCTTCTTTTTCTTCATCTTTCTTCTCATCTTCAACCTTGGCCTTTTCTTTCAACTCCTCTGAAATCTCATCCTCCTCAACTGCTTTCCACTCACATTCTTCTTCTGAGGGCTCATAAATTGCACTGATGATCTGAAATCACTTGTCAAATAGAGGCTGATAGAGAACAGCATATTTTCTTTCAAGATCATGAACTTCTTCATAGAATTTGGCTTCTATCTGTGCACATTTAACTTGAAGATTTTTAAGTGCATTCACTTGTCTTTTAACACCTGAGGCAAGCTTTCAATGTATCCTGTTGGTGTTTCTACCAGATCATCAAGTCTTTCTTGAAGAGTTGCAAGAATCTGAGGATTTTGCACCATCTGAACAGTCAGCTGATGCGTTTTGATTTTTTTTTCTTCACCAATTTCTTCTTCTATTTCTTCAACATCATTCAAATCTTGATCAAGTTCAGACTGTTCTTTGTTGTCAATGTCTGCCATGTTGTTTAGTAAGAACTCCAAATTATCATCGGCTAGAACACGGAGCAATGCAATGGAGCTGCACAGGCAGTCAAGTCATGATATTTTCAATAGCCTCATATCCATGTGAAAGTTGGACAATGAATAAGGAAGATCATAGAAGAATTGATGCATTTGAGTTATGGTGGGAGAAAACAATTAAAAGTACCATGGACTGTCAAAAGAACAAACAAATGTGTGTTGGAAGAAGTACAGTTAGAATGCTCCTTAGAAGCCAGGATGGTCAGACTTTGCTTCTGATACTATGAAAAAATTATTAGGAAGGACCAGTCCCTGGAGAAGGACATCATGCTTGGTAATGTGGAGGGTTGGCAAAAAAGAGGAAGATTCCCAAAGAGATGCTTGGCAGCAGCAGTGAACTCACACATAGCAATGACTGGGAGCATGGTGCATTCTGTTGTGCATAGGGTCAATATGAGTCAGAACCAAGTTGATGACACTTAACAACAACAACCTCCAAAACCAAAAACCAAACCCACTGCCATCAGTTCAATCCTGACTCATAGTGACTATAGGATAGAACAGAACTCCCCCGAGGGTTTCCTAGACCAGAAATCTTTATAGAAACCATCTCATCTTTCTTCTGAGAAGCTGCTGGTGGATTTGAACCGCTGACCTTGCAGTTAGCAGCCCAATGTTTAACTCACTATTCCACCAGGGCTGCTTCTAACCCTCAACTCCCCTACAAGAGCTGCAGGTTTTTATGAGCCAGAATTGATTCCATGGCACTTAACAACAACAACAGCAATCTTTATTGAAGTCCTGGCATGGTGCTGCAGGATAATGAACTGGGTCCCAAGGTAGGTTTGAACTACAACCTGTCTATGGTTTCCTAGAAGCAGCTGGTGATAAGTCAAACCCACCAGCTGCTCCTCAAAAACCCTAGACAGCATCACTATTAGAACCAACTCAACGGCATTTAACAATAACAACAACAACAATCTTTACTGGAGCAGATTAACAAGTCTTTCTCCCAAGGTGCCCCTGGGTGGGTTGTTGTTGGTAATTGCCAACAAGGCTTCACCTATTTGAATTGCTGTTGTTGTTGTTAGGTGCCATCAAGTTGGTACTGACCCATAGCGACCTTATACACAACAGAACAAAACACTGCCCAGTCCTGGGCCAACCTCACTGTTGTTGCCACGCTTGAGTCCATTGATGCTGCCACTTTCCCAATCCATCTTGCTGGGGGTCTTCCTCTTTTTCTCTGACCCTCCACCCTACCAAACATGATATCCTTCTCCAGCAACTGATCCATCCTGTCAATATGTCCAAAGTATGAGAGATGAAGTTTGGCCATCCTGGCCTCCAAGGAGCACTCTGGCTGCACTTCTTCCTATTTATATAACAAGCCCTTAATCTTTTCATTTTGCTTTGTCATTTTTACTCTTCAGTTTTCTCTTAGATGAGTACAGGAATCTGACCTAGTGTCCAGATAGCCCCAGGCCACAGCCAATAGGTTCTCAATAGTACTTTGGGGTATTTATCACTGGTCTTGATGTGACATTGCAGAATAAGCACTGAACTGCTAACTGCAAGGTCAGTGATTCAAACCACTCCTTGGAAACCCAGTACAGGGTCGCTATGAGTTGAAACCAACTTGACAGAACTGAGCAACAACATTTGTAACACAAGAGATTGTTACATCATCTCCACTACTATTCTTCCTTCAAACACTGGTGTCTTTCTTTTTCAGTTTTCATTGTCTTTATAATGTCATTTGTACCTACAAAAAAAGAGAAATGTCAATAGTTTCTCACATTCAAAGTCACTCAGTTTTCATTGGGAAAAATGGATGCAGGGTTCTTTTCCAGATGTTAATGTGGATTACATGGTGGCACTTTGAGTTAGGCATTGGACTGATAACTGCATGATTGGCAGTTCAAACCCACTAGCCATTCTGTGGGAGAAAGATGAGGCTGTCTACTCCCATAAATATTTACTGTCTCAGACAGCCTATATAGGGTTGCTCTCAGTCAGAATCAACCTTGATGGCTATGGGTAAGGTCCTTGAATATTGGGGAGTGGAACTAGTCCCATTTTTTAGATGAATAAAGGAAAGAAGGGTTGTCTCTACTATGGCAGAGGATGATTGCTTGCCATGGCCAGAACAGTCTCCCAAGCCCCAAGATACACAATGGGCAGTGGATTCTATAGCCTAACCCTGTTTCCCTTCCCTAAGGGTAAAATTGTTCATTTAGCCCTGGTCTCTGGATCCAGATGGTTCCTTGAAAATGCGATGTTTTTTGTTTGTTTGTTTTTTCTTCATAAAGTACATTTTTAGAGTTGATTTGCTTTGTTCTATTTGTAGATGTGTCTCTTTTTCTTGCTACCCTTAGTCTTAGCCTGATAAAGTAATGAAGAAGGCTTATCAGCATGTGTCTTCAAGAGAGACAGTTCTGAAAGGCAAGCTCTGGTAGGGTTCACAGGAAGAGTGGTCTGTCAAGCTGCTTTGTCCAGAAACAAGTGGTCACTACCTCAAAAAGCACCTCTAAAACTGGACTCAGCATACACAGCTGGTGAGATGGACATAACTCCCCCAAATACAAGTCCGTTCTTAAACAATTAAACTAGAAGAATGTTCTCTAAAGTTGGTGTCTTTACAAAGTCATTTCAAGACAAACAAAATAGAAATTTTATTTTTTTAATTTAGCTGACTGATATCATTAAGTATTAGAGAATCTATAAGCATTAAGATGCAGGGAGGTAAAAATGGTTAGAGGTGCCGCCTCAGTTTCTTAGCAATATTAAGGTCCAAGTATTCATCCAGAAAGCTGTTTGCGATGCCCAAGGTGCCTAGGACAGTCAGCACAGCCAGAGTCCCCAAACTCAACTGGAAACCAGTCATCCTGCAGACATCAGGGAGAGAAGGATGAAGATGGTGAGTTATTGTTGGCACTGCCCTGAACATGTTTTTGTTATTTAAAAAAAAAAAAAAAACTGCATATTTTTGCCATTTGAAAAGTTTGACTCAACACTTCAATGAAATGGGCTGTCTAATCAGAAAAGCTAATTGGCTTCTTTGAACATTCAAAGAAATCTCAACACTGGGCAGGATTACTTCCTTGGCAAATGTTTGGAAACAGTGTGAAATTTTGCAAGGATTTAAGTGCAGTTGTCAAGGAATGCACATTCCATGTATAATTTCATATTTACATTTTCCCATGGCATTTCCAATTGTGTCTGGCTTCAGACAACATGGATTTCAATTCCATCCATAACCACTGGTGTTATTGTTGTTGTTGTTAAGTGCCATAGAGTCAGTTCTGACTCATAGTGACCTTTATATAGGGTTTCCAAGGAGTGGCTGATGGGTTTGAACACCCAATCTAGTGGTTTAAACCAACCTTGCTTGTGATCCAGTGCTTATCTTACCATACCAGGACTCCTGGTAGCATGAAGATCTCTCACTACTCCAGACTCCAGGGTCCTGGTATGGAACTGTAGAATAAGCACTGAACTGCAAGGTCAATTTTAATCATACGTGGTTAAAACTCACCAGCTGTTCCTCAGAAATGCTATACTGGGTCTCTGTATGAGTCAGAACTGACTCAACAGCACTTAACAGCAACAAATCCAGACTCTAAATGGGAAACAAATACAGACTCCATCCTACTACTTTTTACCTAATTGCACTATTTTGGGGATCTTCTTACCTTTTTTTAGCAGCTTCTGAATATCCAAAAAAGTACAGGTGACGAGCATACAGGTACACCAGACCCAGAAAAGTAGCAAAAACTGTAGAAGTAATAAAAGAGGAAGATTCAGAATGTGATGGTAGTCGCTCAGAATGGGGTATGAAGACTGAGAAAATACTCACAAAACACTATCTGACAAAGGACTTAAATCCAGAATATGCAGAGAACACTTGCCACTCGATAGTAAAAGAAAACAACTCAATTTTTTTTAATGGACATAAGATTTGAATAGACAAATTATACAGGAAGATAAGCACATGAACATTTCAACATCATTAGTCATCAGCAGACTGCAACTTAAAAAACTTGACACTACTACACACGCACCAGGTTGGCTAAAATTAAAAATGACTGACGGCACAAAATGTTGGTGAAGATACAGAATGTAAGTCCCAAGAAGTTATTGGAACTTCTCTTTTTTTATATAGCCATAAGTGATGCTACAAAGACAATGAAAACAGAAAAGAAAAGCAGTTAAGCACCAGTTTTTCTAGAGTAGTTGTCGTTGCCGAGTGCCTTCAAGTTGGTTCCAACTCATAGCAACCCTGTGTAGAGTTTTTGAGGAGTAGATGGTGAGTGTGAACCTCTAACCTGTGGTTAGCAGTCCAGTGCTTATCCTCCAGCACTACATCGGTACTCCTCTAGACTGGTAGTGGAGAAAGTATAACAATTTCTTGCATTCCAGACAGCAGTACTAAATACCCCAAAGTACTATTAAGAGCCTATTGGCTTGGGCTGGAGGTTGTTCAAACCCACCAGCCACTCCTCAGAAAACCTATCTACGGTCAGTATGACTGGAACTGATTCAAAGAAACTTAACAACAACAATACATTATTGATAGGAATGCAATATGGTACTAACTCTTTGAGAAAAAGTCTGGTAGTTCCTAGTAAAACGAAACATATGCTTATGTTTGACCAAACAATTCCTACAACTTTACCCAAGAGAAATGAAAACATATGTCCCAAAAAGACTTGTATAATACTGCTCACTTATAACTGCTTTATTCATAATACTCAAAAACTGGAAATAGCCCAGAGATCTGTCAATGGAAGAGTGGATAACTAAACGGGAATATAGTCATACAACAGAATGCTAATCAGCAATGAAAAAGAAATCACAGATATGTGCAACAACATGGTGAACCTAAGTAACATTCTGCTGAATAAATAAAACACAATACAAGAGCTTTGTAGTCTCCACAGCAGAAGTGAGATGACGAAGGGAACATCATGTTTGGAAAGCGGCACAATAAGACTCAAACCTTGTGCTGCCATTGTGGCTATAAGGCCTACCATCTTCAGAAATCAACCTGTTACCAATGCTGCTACCCTGCCAAGCACAAGAGAAAGTATAAGTGGAGCACCAAGGTGAAAAGATGAAATACCACTGGTACTGGTCGAATGATACACCTAAAAATTGTATACCGCAATTTCAGGCATGGATTCCATGAAGGAACAACACCTAAACCAAAGATAGCAGCTTGTTGCGGCATCCAGTTCATATTAAAGTTTTCAACGTCTAGTCATGCAATGAATGTTCTCAGAATAAAAACAAATAAATAAAAATTTAAAACACTGTACAAGTATACATATACACTGTATGTCCCCAAAAGACTTGTATAAGACTGCTCATGAAGCTCTAGAATGGGAAAAACTAAAGAAACATGAATAAATCAGAACAACAGTTGACTTTGGTCTTGAAGGGGAAGCCTGGGAGGATTACAAGGAAATATTCTGAGTGGTGATAATATTCTGTATGTTGGTAAGGTTTTGGTCACATATGTATATACATTTGTCAGAAATCGTCAAATGGTACACTAAAGATTTGTAGATTTTACTATATGGAAACTTTTTTAAAAGTAAAATGTTGTTTGATGGGCTATCATCATGTTCAATAAAAAGATAGAGTAACTGCAACAAATGAGCTGCAGGTAGACCTAGACTTCCCACTGGAATGAGGGAAAGCTTGGGAATTGCCTGAGAGAATTCAGGAGAGTGATAATGAGGTGCATGTAAATGCACCAGAGATGGGTTGTGAAAAATAAGGAGGAAGTCAGGAAGGCACTACAAGAACAATCATATAAGACAAATACAGCATTTGAAACAATTCAAAACTTCAAAAAGAAGTCTAAATGATTAATAATAAAATATCAGAAATGGAAAATACACTTGCAAAGCAAAGGAGTAGAATCGAAGAGATGGAAGCCAGAAGTAGTGAGCTGAAAGACAAATCTCTCAATACTGCTAAGATAGAAGAGCAAGCAGAAAAAATGAATTTAAAAATCTGAAGAAAGTCTAAGATTCAGATTGGACAACATGAAGAGAAATAACTTAAGAATTATTGACATTCCAGAATAGAAAGAATCACACAAGTCCACAGTAGAGATAGTTGAAGAGCTCCTGAAAGAAAATATCCCTAACATCCTGAAAAACAAAAAGATAGGCATTTCAAGAAGCTCAACAAACCCCAGGAAGGATAGATCCCAAAAGAAAATCACCACAACATATAATAATCAAGCTCTCCAAAATCAAAGACAAGGAGAGAATCCTGAAAGCAGATAGGAAAAAGAGAAGTGTTGCATACAAAGGCAAGCAAATCAGACTAAGCTCTGACCTCTCAGCAGAAACCATGCAGACAAGAAAGCAGTGGTGAAACATATATAAAACCCAGAAAGAAAAATACTGCCAACCAAGAATCATCTACCAAGCAAAGCTGTCAATCAAATACATGGTGTAATAAAAAAAAATTCCTGGATAAACAGAAGCTAAGGACTTTGTCAAAGCCAACCCCATGCTCCAAAACATCCTAAAGGGAGTTCTTTGGAATGAAAATCAACAAGAACAGACAACAACCAGAGATTGACATACGCAGCAGCACCACTGGGAACTCAGTCGACAATGGAAGAGTCAAGAACAGACAAAACTATAAAAATGAATTTGTGGGAGGTCAGTCTATGATCAAAACAATAGAAACTCAGTCAACAATGGAAGAGTCGAGAACAAACAAAACTATAAAAATGAATTTGTGGGAGGCCAGTCTATGATCAAAACACATAGGAACAGAGATCTATGTGGTGAGGAGGTCAGGTAGATTAGAGGATAAAATAGACTGTTTCAAATGGAGGGAAAAGTTAATGGAATATGTTGTTGTTGTCAGGTGCCATTGAATTGCTACTGACTCATAGCAACCCTATGCACAGCAGAACAAAACACTGCCCGATCCTGGGGCAATCTCACTATTATTGCCATGCTTGAGTCCATCGATGCTACCACTTGGCCAATCCATCTTGTTGGGGTCTTCCTCTTTTTCTCTGACACTCCACCTTTCCAAACATGACATCCTTCTCCAGCAACTGGTCCCACCTGACAGTATGTCTGAAGTATGAGAGACAAAGTTTGGCCACCAAGGAGCACTCTGGCTGCACTTCCTCCAACACAGATCTGTTGGTTCTTTTGGCAGCCCATGGCACTTTCGGTATTCTCCTCCAACACCTTAACTCAAAAGCATGAATTCTTCTACGGTCATCCTTATTCACGTTCCAGCTTTCACATGCATATGAGGTTATTGAAAATACCATGGCTTGGGTCAGGTGCACCTTAGTCCTCAAGTTGACATCTTTTCTCTTCAATACTTTAAAAAGGTCTTGTGCAGCAGATTTGCCTAATGCAATATGTCGTTTGATTTCTTGACTGCTGCTTCTGTGAGTGTTGATAGTTGATCCAAGAAGAATAAAGTTAGTCAGTCACAAAAGGACAAATACTGCATAAAACCATTATTGTAAAAGCTTAAGAAAAGATACCTGTGCTAAAAGGAGGGGGCAAATTCTTTGTTGGTTACTGGTGGTGGTAGGGGTCAGGGGCTGGGAGGTGGAGGGAGAAGATGGTAGAGCAATGGATAGTGGGTAGACACATCATAGTCAGGTGTTGGGGAGGGCAAAGGGGAAGGGAGTGGAAGAACAAGGAAGATAGGAGAACCCTGAGTCAGCCTTGCATGGGCTGAATGGGACAGAGGCAAATAGTGATGTATGCACAACCTTGGAACAACAGGGCTCTGTGATACAGGAATTGAGGCATAGTCTGAAGAGGGAAAATAATGTAAAGATGCTTGACTGACTTGTAACTATTGGTTTCCCTTGCCTACTATTGTAAAATAGACACTTGAGTGGGTTAGAAAAGAATGTTGGAAGACATGATTACAGAAAGCTTGTAAGCCTGTCTTCTGCCTATAACTGTTTGGAATACCTAAAAGGAGTTCTAGAACTTGCCCAGTGAAATAGGATTCTTGCAGTGTATAGGACCTTAGGTGGAATTCTGAGTTTCATCCAGAATCTTCTGAGGTGGAACATTCCCACAAGAAAGGACAAGCAGACCAGCCTGAAACAGCTAGAGCAATGCAAGATGCATCTTCAAAGAAAGATCAGCAGGAAAAATCCAAAACAAAAACAGTAGTATGATTTGCTACTACAATAAGCACATTGTGTGCTAGGGAGCCATCAAGACAAGCAATCAAGTTACTGCAGGACAAACTCTCCTCCAAGAATGAAATTCAAAGGGAACACATGAACAGGCATGTAAGCTTGCTGGCAACCATGTTGGTCTACTGGTGAGTGGAAGAGGTGGAAAGACAGCAATGAAGAAATGGATTGAGTTCAACCACATTCCATAGACTACTGTCGACCTGGAGATGAGAGAAAGAAGAGGAAGTGTTGGTTGGTCCAAAGTGTGGTGAGACCTGAGGACTCCTGAGCCCATGGACAAGGACATAGCCATGGAGGGCTAGAGCTGAAAGTGAAGCGTCTGACTGATATGAAGTGAGGGGAGATGCACAAGAATGCCTAAACTTTCAGATAGTACCATTTGACCTAGGCTCGGTGGCTTGATAATCAGAACTCGACTAGAGGAAGATAAAAGTATATATTTTTGATCGAGAAAATGAGTGCAAATTGCTACAATTTGATGAACTTGACCTGTACTTATATACCAGCTGAGAGGGAAGGAGTCTTCACATCAAATATTAATCCTATCTCCTCTGTATAG